ATCTCAATCCTGCACTCAAACTGTTATATTAATTCAAAATTTCAGCCCTATCCGTTCACACAACTACAATTTGTAAACCATTTGGTACCAGTTAGTCCTTTTTTCATACACTCCAACAGTAATTTTAATTCGAAAATTCTGGAGTCCAGCTCTATCCGTTCACACATAATTAAGTTGTACCAAATATAGTACCATTTTGTACACATAAGTACTATGCTTCCATATCTCAATTTAGTTTAGTACTTTTCGTACACATAAATATGAATTTCCAAAGGTGTGTCTATAGCTCAATCTTCAACAGTAATCTTAATTCCAAATTTCAGGTTTTCAGCTCTATCCTTTCAAGCAAAGTCCAAATTTTACTAAATTTAGTATCATATAGAACTTTTCGTACCATTAAGTATGAATTTCTTAAACTACCTCAATCCTACACTCCAACAGTAATTTTAATTCTCAATTTGAAGGCTCCAGCTCTATCACCAAATCTAGTACCAAATTTAGTACCATTTTGTACTTTTTATACACATAAGTACGAATTTTTTAAACCATTTCCATACATCAACATTACTTCCAAACCTGTATTCTATATAAAATATCAAAGATTATAGCTATATATTTTCAATATATATACAAATAGAACTAATTTTAGTAAAGTTTAGCACTTTTAGTACACTTAAAGGTCGAATTTCCAAAAACCCTCTTGTGCATCTTTCTAACATTCCATCAGTGACCCACATGCCAAATTTCAGAATTCTATCTCTTCCCGTTCGCCTAATATAAAGGGTGCCAAATTTGGTACATTTTAGTACTTTTCGTACCCTTCAAGTTCGAATTTCCAAAAACACAGCCTTATCTCACGCCTACACACCAACAGCAACCCTCATTTCAATCTTCCAGCTTCAGCCGTATCGTCTGGGCGATGATCTGTCAGTCATCACATAAAACTAAGCTCTTTTATATATATGGTCTGTTCTCGTACTGCAAGAATCTACTCGATTTTACTATTTTTACCATATCATAAAAGAAAAAAGTGTTATCGGAGAAAAAAAAGTAGATTCTTGCAGTATTCGAGATATTAGAGCCCTTTATTCTTTTACAATAAAAGAAGCCAACTTAGAGTATAAACACAATCAGTGAGTTAGGAGTCAGCGGCATAGTTTTTCGCCGCCGTAAATAACAAACGATAGAGCGGCTAGCGACACAAAATGTCAATTATTTGTTTTTGCTCTGCAATGCTCTTTTATGGATCTAAATAGAAAAAATAATTCTCTTTCTCCTGAATATAGTATGAACCCATATCTTTTTACTGTTTATTCATGTTTTATTTGGTCTGTTCCTGTACTGCAAGAATCTACTCGATTTTAATATTTTCTTCGATATCATAAAGGAAAAATTCGTTATCGTAGTAAAAACTAGTAGATTCTTGCAGTACGGGAACAGACCAATAGTTTTTTAAGTATATTTTTATATTTTCTCAATACGTATGTGACATATGTATATGTAAATAAAAAATTGGAGAATTTTTGTTTGGGTTTCCCCACATTTGTTTCTCATTTTGTACGCTAATTAGAACCAAAGGGAAAGAAATGTATATTGCATTATGTGGATTAGAAAAATTTACATCCTTCTGAATATATAAAAACTAAAAATTTGTTTACCTTTCTTCCATCATTTCCAATTTTACTGAAAAAGTTTGAAAATTTTATAAATATTTCCATGCTGTCAAAATTAATTTATTTTCGAAAAATTCTTGGTTATTCCGAGAGTTATTCGAATTGAACAATGTACAAAAGTCGGTGCTCGCTCAGGGGAACTAAGTAATTACTTCATAATTAAGAGTTGAACAACGAATGAGAGGGGGAACAACGCTCGTCTGTACATGGCATTAATGTTGAAAATGTACGTATTTTGTTTTATTTGTAGACAAAATTGTCTATAGGAAAAAAAGAATAAATGTAGTGTTTTATATGTACAAGAATGAGAAAACACAGATTTTCATGGTAGATACCGGATATAACGAAGATAGGTTATAAGCAACTACACATATAATGAACAAAGCTGAAAACGAACTGATTTTTCATAAAGGGTACGGACTACATAGCTGGCATGGTACAATTATACAAGGTAGGATAGCGTTTGTCAGAAAGGAGAGAATACACCTCTACCTTATGGGCAATAATGTCAGAATAAATGAAAACAAATGCAACAAGTCGTTCTGTTCATTTGACATATTTTTAACATCTTACCTAAAACACGAACAATTAATGAAACATCAAGTTTTCTTTTCAAAATCGAGTTGGGGATATAACGGCATATACATTAGAACTATTTGACATATATGCAAAGGAATTGACAATTGAAACCCACTGGGTTAACGAAATCCGATTAAATGTAAACGTACTGTATGATTTACATATTGATTCATTCACAAATCATACATTTCTTCTTACAAATGTTGTAAAATTCATATTCAAATAAATCTATTTTCGAATATAGTTTGTTATATTTTTCAAAACATTACACACAGAGTCATAAATTTTGTATATGACTGGCATAACAAGCCACAGTATGAAAAAAATGTAATTTATAAGTTGATATGGCCTACCTTGAATAATTGTAACATAACGACTGGTTTTGATTATATTAATACAATTTTTAATTTTTGATGTTTATAGTTGACGTGGTAAATTGTTAATGTTTTTGATGATGTTTCGGCTAAAGAACAATATTTCGATTGTCTTCAGGGATCTGTTACAAAATAAGCAATTGGTTAGAAATTGATAAACGAAAATTATAAAACACACTAATCTTTCAAAGTGTTTTTAATCGTCTACTTAAGGGGACCCCCCATTCTCGGGGTCAAAAATTTTTTTGATTTAATTAGAATCTACACTAAATCAGAATGTTCCTACAAAATTTCAAGTGAAAATCTCAAGAACTCTTAAAGATATAGCCGATTTATTGTGTCAGTATAAAGTGACGGCTAAAGGGATTCTCAAACTTTAAACGCGTTTTTCTCTTTTGTAAATGGCGGGCACGATAACTAAAAAACTAATAACCCAATCGATTCCAAATTTTTACACGTTTCTCTGTGAGTGTGTAGCTATCGTATGAACTAGGATAAAGCCAATCGGTGAAGATCTTCCTTATTTTTTAACTTGGTTTTTGGTCAAAAATCGGCGATTTTCCAAAAAAATATTTTTTCAAAGGTCCGCCATTTTGTTAATTTTAGAGCGAAGTAAATAATCCTAGTTCATACGAGAGCCAGACATGTACACTTTCTAACACCGTTGGAATTTTCGGATTCCGATGTTTTAGCGAGTAGATATCATGCCCGCCATCAAAAATAATGACTTCTCTTTAATTACAAAAAACAACAATAAAACAATAACAAAATTTTTTTGTAAATTATTTGTCTTCTCTTTCAAATCTTCAAATGTATATGTGCAAAGTTACAAACATTAACAAGCATTGGTATTGATTTACCAGCCCATTAAAAATCTTGAAAAATTAAAATCGAGAATTGTGGGGTTCCCTTAAATTAAACGTCGAAGTCAAACTAAGGACAGACGTAATGCCATGTACAGACGAGCGTTGTTCGCTCTCTCATTCGTTGTTCGACCCTTAATTACGAAGTAATTACTTAGTTCCCCATACAAAATCGTCTGAGCGAACACCGACTTTTGTACGTTGTTCAATTCGAATCACTCTCTGAATAACCAATAAATTTGTCCCATCCCTAACAATTGAGAGTATTTATCGAAAATAAATTAATTTTGACAGTTTGTAAATATTTATGCAAACTTTTTCAGTAAAATTGAAAATCATGAATGAAAAGTAATAAATTGTATAGTTTTTATATATGCAACAGGATGTAAATTTTGTTTTCTACATAATGCAATATGCATTTCTTTTCCCTTGGTTCTAATTAGCGTACAAAACAAGAAACAAATGTGGGGCAACTCAAACAAAAAATTCTCCAAATTTGTATATGTGACAGTATGTGACATTTGAATTGAGAAAATATAAAAATGTATTAAAAACAACATTTTCAGAAAAAATGGAAAACATGAATGAAAAGTAAATAGATATGGGTTCATACTATAGTCAGGAGAAAGAGAATTATTTTTTCTATTTAGATCCCTATGTAATTCACTAAAATATGTTAAATTTTTGGTGTAAAACAAGAAACAAAAAGTTTGAAATAAAAAACTCTGATGATATGAATTATGAATAGTGTTGTATGAACGGGTTAATTCATGTACGTAATTCTGAGAGCGAACTACGTTGTTCGGATGACCGTCAGAACATGGCATAAGAAAACTTAGTTTGACTTTGACGTTTAATTTAAGTACACGCTTTTCCTTTGCAATCCTTAAAATAATATGTGCAAAATTGTCTTAAAGCGGTACTTCTTGCCAAGCAGCATGTCGCTTTTCTTAGTTTGGGCACCATGGAACAACACCTGTCCATGTACTAACATTAATGAATATAATAAACGGTACGCATAAGCATCTAAATTTGACATTTCTAAATTTGTAATGGCCAAAGAATTCATTGACAATAAATGTAACAATAATTATTCAGTATATAAAAGTTTATATTGTTTCAATAGGAAAATTAAGTTTGGAAACTGTGTTGGTGTACAATGTATAACCAAATATCGTACTGTATATATATCTACCTTGTTTAGAGAAATGTAGTAGGCATTGATATATATACATATACATGTTTTATGTGAAAAAATATTTTCAATATTTTTTCCATTCCATTCAAGAACTTTAATAAAGACGTTTGTACGATATAAAACCACTGCGTGTTTCAAACTATCCAATAGGTTATAGGCCCAGAGCCTACGTGGAATTTATCGGTAATTTTAATTCGTTTTGCAAGAACTGATTTAAATCAGTAATTCGTGTATTTTAACGGCAAAAATGAATGGAATAAATGTGCAATTTCCCAAGCTTTCAAATTCCAACTATCATAATTGGAAATTCAATATGGAACTGTTGTTGCTGGAACGGGAACTATGGGATATCATCGTTCAAGAAGTGCCAAGTGCTCCTGATGCGAAGTGGTTAATTCGCGACGGAAAAGCAAGGGCAACTATCGGTTTAGCGGTGGAAGAATCTCAAAAAGTACATATCAAGAAGCTTAAGACAGCTAAGGAATTTTGGAATGTTTTAAAGAAGCACCATGAAAAGTCAAATTTAACAAATAAAGTAAGTCTTCTACGCCAACTGTCAACAAAGAGAATGCAAGGAGGTCAAGCGATGGAAGAACACATCACAGAATTTATGGATATTGTGGATCGTTTAAATGACCTTGGTGAGGAAATTGGTGAGCACAAAACGGTGGCATTTTTGCTTGGGAGCCTGCCGGAGGAATACAATTCGTTGGTTTCATCGTTGGAAATGCGTCCAGAGAATGATTTAACCGTGGATTTGGTAAAAGAAAAACTGCTTCAAGAATTTACACGGAAATCTGAAGTTGCTCCAATGGCTGATACTGTTTTTAAAACGCAAAAGAAATTCAAGCCAAAATGTTTTTCATGTGGTAAGATGGGACACAAAGAAAAATTGTCCGAATAGAAAACTGAATGGAAGTCGAGCAAATGTTGCGGAGAATAAGGAAAATAAAAATCATTGTTTCGGTGTTACATCGAAAAGAAAGCAACATAATTGGTTCATAGATTCGGCTGCAACTTGCCATATGTGCTGCAATGAAGAATTATTTTACAGATTGAATAGGCAACGAAATGATTCAATATATTTGGCTGATGGTACCGAATTAAAAGCAAGTGGCATCGGTGAATGTCGTCTGTTTTGTCAAAATAAAGAAATATGTGTACAAGATGTTTTGTACATTCCTGAACTTGATGGAAGTTTATTATCAGTAAGGAAATTGACAAAAGGAGGATACAAGGTGCATTTTGAATCAGATAGCTGTTCAATATTGATGGATGGTCAAGTTTGTGCTACCGGAAGTCTGAGGGACAATTTGTATATACTTAATAGTAGTCAAATGGCGAATAAATTATGTCGAGTCAATGCGGAATGCGTTCATGTTTGGCATCGTCGACTGGGTCACAGAAATATTCAGGCAATCAAAAATAGTGCTAGTGAAGGTCTAGCGGCTGGATTGAATATAAAGAAATGCTCATGTTCGTCAGCATGTGAGGTGTGTTTACAATCAAAATTAACAAGAAAGACTTTTCCAAAAATGTCAGAAACAAAGTCCGAGGCTATTTTGGAAATAATTCACGCGGATGTATGCGGACCAATGCAGAATACAACTCCGAGTGGTAACCGTTACTTTTTAGTAATGATAGATGACTACAGCCGATACTGTCATGTGTATTTTTTAAAATCCAAGGATATGGTTTTTGATAAAATACAAGAATTTGTGGAAATGACGGAAAATCAATTCGGTAAGCGTATGAAAATATTGAGATCTGATCGTGGGGGTGAATTTTGTAGCAATAAGATGGAAACATACCTAAAGTCAAAAGGAATAGTTCATCAATTAACTGTCCCCTACACTCCTGAACAAAATGGAGTAGCCGAAAGAAAGAATAGAAGCTTGATGGAGATGGCTCGCTGCATGTTGAATGACTCTGAAATTCATGTAAAATTTTGGGCGGAAGCTGTGAACACAGCAAATTATGTTCAGAAGAGGATTCAAACTTCCATTACAAATGTTACTCCTTTTTCACTATGGTTCAACAAAACTCCAAGCTTAAGCCATATTCGAGTTTTTGGATCGGTTGCGTACGCACATATTAACAAACAAAAGAGAAGAAAGTTAGATAATGTTGCGATCAAATGCAATTTGGTTGGCTATTGTGATGAATCGAAAGCATATCGATTACTCAATACTAAGACAAACGCTATTGTTATTAGTAGAGATGTGGAATTTATTGAACCAGACTGTCGTCGTCACAAAGGTAGTGATTTAATTGAAGTTGAAAGAACGTCGGAGAATATGGTTAATGTACCCTCGGAAGTTTCAAATTCTGATATGAAAAATGAAGGCATATCAAGTGGAGAAGAGGAAGACGAGTTTTGTGGTTTTGAGTCTGCAGATGAAATAAATTCTACGTCATCTTCTGATGAATCGCAACGAGAAGAAGTTCTTGAAAATGTTACATCAAATCACAATGCTGAGAGTCGCAACGAGAGCAAACAAAAATGTACCGCCTAAAAGATATGCGTGTAAAGTTTCTTATGTTGATGATCCTGTTTCTTACAAGGATGCTATATCGAAATCCGACAGCAAGGAGTGGATGAAAGCTATGAATGAGGAAATCAAGTCGCTACATGACAATCAGACATGGGATCTTGTGGAAATGCCTAAAGGACACAAGTTGATTGATTGTAAGTGGGTTTTTAAAGTGAGGAAACCATTGACGACAGAACCAAGTACAAGGCCAGATATGTAGCAAAGGGATATTCCCAGAAGTACGGAGAAACTTATGATCAAGTTTTTGCGCCTGTGGTAAAGCAAACAACGTTGAGGACTCTATTAGCAGTGGCAAGCTATAAAAATATGAACGTGAAACACATTGATGTAAAGACCGCTTTCCTCAATGGTGAGATTGATTCTGAAATTTATATACGGCAACCAGAAGGCTTCATTGTAAAGGGCAAAGAACATTTGGTATGTAAATTGAAAAGAAGCATTTATGGTCTAAAACAATCAGCTCGTTGTTGGAATCTGCGAATAAACAATGTTTTAGTTAATTCTGGATTCAGAAGGGGAAAGGCTGATCCATGTCTTTACGTAAAAGAATTGAACAACTTTATGTCTTAATTTACGTAGACGATATCATTATTGCCAGTAAAAGTAACGAGGAAATAAGGATAGTTACAAGAACTTAGAATAGAACATTAAGAATAGAATAGAACATTAGATAGAACATTAAGCAGAACTTTGAAATAACCGAACTAGGAGATATCAAATTATATTTGGGAATTGAAGTTACACGTAACTAAAATGGAGTTTTTTATTTGTGTCAAGAAAATTATGTTACAAAGTTGTTGCAAGAATTTGGGCTATCTGATGCAAAAACTTCTTCAATTCCTATGGATCCGGGTTATTTAAAGGATATTAAAGATGATAAATTGCTGGAAGATAATCATTTGTATAGAAAGGCAATTGGATCTCTGCTATACCTTGCAAATAATACACGTCCGGATATTTCAGTTGCTGTGTCCATATTATCTCGAAAAATAAAAAAACCAAGTCAAAGAGATTGGACAGAAGTCAAGCGAGTGTTAAGATATTTGAAAGGCAGTCCAAATTTGAAATTGTGTGTTGGTTCTAAGTCAAATTTGGATCTAAAAGGATATGCTGATGCTGACTGGGCTGGAGATGCCAATGATCGAAAATCAACAAGCGGTTTTGTATTTAAACTTGGTGACGCCATCATAAGCTATGCAAGTAGAAAACAATCGAACGTAACTTTGTCATCAACGGAAGCAGAGTTAGTAGCTTTAGCGGAAGCATCGCAGGAAATGTTATGGATTTGTCAATTAATGAAAGAATTTGGAATCAAAATATCCAATCCAGTAATGTATGAAGATAACCAAAGTTGCCTCAAAATTCTACAGGAACATAAAATTAATCAAAGAAGCAAACATATTGATGTTAAATATTACTTTATTCGTGATTTGCGAAGGTCTGAAAAAATAAGCTACGAATATTGCCCAACAGATAAAATGTTAGCTGATATTTTAACTAAACCGTTACAAAAAATTAATATTTGTAAATTTAGATATTTAATTGGATTATCAGTTTAGCTTTAAATGTATATACATATGTATTTACGTTAACTATATCTGATACATTGAGAAGGGGTGTTGGTGTACAATGTATAACCAAATATCGTACTGTATATATATCTACCTTGTTTAGAGAAATGTAGTAGGCATTGATATATATACATATACATGTTTTATGTGAAAAAATATTTTCAATATTTTTTCCATTCCATTCAAGAACTTTAATAAAGACGTTTGTACGATATAAAACCACTGCGTGTTTCAAACTATCCAATAAACTGTGCGTTTTGGGGATACAAAAACGTACCGCATCAGTGATACGTTTACGTGCTGCTTTTGTGTTACGAAAACGGACCGCATTAGCCTTACGTAAACGTACAGCTTTAGCTTAGCCTTGACGTTCTACCAATCCATTCACATGACTAATTTTTTGTCTAAGCGGGGTTTTACACTGTTGGTCATTGGTATTGGTCATGAGAGTTTTCTCTCTCTCTCTCATTGGTAAGTTGGAAATAGACTTGGAAAATACTTCTACAGGTAGGAAAAAAATGTACGAAAAGGTACCTAAAATTTTACTTCAAACGATAATAAATCATTATTATCGAGAAATATTGGCCTATATTTATACCAGTTATTTGCATAAATAATATATGTTATAGGGTGGCGTAGGGCAACGATCAGTGCCGCGAGTTCATCCATAATAACTATAAAAAATTGGTTGAGGCGTCGGGTTAGTTGCCCACTCTCGAAAAACCCATCCTACTACGAAAAAGCAAAGAAAAAGAAAACCAAACCCCCCTAATGTTGACTACCCCCGTAAACGTATAAAGGACCACGATCTGCGAATCTGCACTTGGAATGTGCGCACGTTGTACAGAACAGGCGTAGTACAAAGCCGATAGTATTGCCTTACAGGAAATGCGATGGAAAAGGACTGGCGTAAGTAAATCAGATGATTACGCCCTGTATTATAGCTGCCATGAAACGAGACATGAATTTGGCTGCGGATTTATGGTTAAAGGGAGAATAAAAGACCTCGTCTCCAGATTCACTATAGTAGATGAGTTAATTGATATAATCCATATAAAAGCGAAGATCTACATCAGTCTCATTTCCGCCCATGTTCCGACCGAAGATAAAGATGAACAGACCAAAGACATATTTTACAAGCGCCTAGAAACAGCATATGATCGTTGCCCTGGTCATGACTAAAATCCTGCTAGGAGATTTTAATGCAAAAATCGGAAGGGAAAATATCGTTGGCCCCACCGTCGGAAAATTCAGCCTCCATGAAGAAACTTCAGACAACGGCATGAGGTTCGCGGCAGCAAACACATGGTAGTTAGCAGCACCAGATTCAAGCATCTCGATATACACAAGGCCACTTGGATTTCTCCCGATCGAACAACGAGAAATCAAATTGATCATGTTGTGATAGTCGGAAGGCATTCATCCAGTGTTCTAGACGCCAGTAGAATATGGATGTAGGGTTTAAAATACAAAGGATTAGCCAAAAGTCATTAAAATGGTTAAAAACTCATTAAAGTATAAAATTACAGTAAAGAAATCGTCTGTCCCTCCGTGCATGTGTGAACACGTGCGCTTTTGTTTACAAATAGTGTGTGTATGTGTGTGTGATCCTCCGTTCTGAGTATGGGAATTTATGTATGATCCTCTGAGTATGGCAATTTATATATGTGTGTGTCTCGGTTCGCAAACTGTGTTGATCGACGTGTGTGGGCGCGCTCTTGACCTTGAGTATGGCAATGTGTGTGAGTCCGTTCGGTTTAAGAATATTAGGAATGGCAAACTATGTGGGCATGCGCGGAGCTTACCGAAATGTTTACAAGGGGCAGGGGGAACAGATATGTGGAACAAACTATAGGGAATAACAACAATAACATGCATGCATCAATTGTATCGATAAAATTGGTCAGAGGCATGAAGAGACAGACGCAGTTATGTTTATTTCTGATCATATTAATACCAATGTGTTTATGGCAAACTATGTGGGCATGCGCGGAGCTTACCGAAATGTTTACAAGGGGCAGGGGGAACAGATATGGGAACAAACTATAGGGAATAACAACAACATGCATGCATCAATTGTATCGATAAAATTGGTCAGCGGCATGAAGAGACAGACGCAGTTATGTTTATTTCTGATCATATTAATACCAATGTGTTTATGTTAAATCGAGCATCGTTGAGTGTTGGGCATGCGTGGGAAGGGTGGCACATATTTGGTAAGGGGAAAGGGGGGTACAAATATTAATGAATTTCGCAATGTTATGCAACTATGATTAGGAGTGAAAAGGGAAGAGGCAGGAACAAATATGTGTTTACGCAATGTTTGGATACAAGAGGAAACGGGGGGAGAGGAATATGTTTGCCCTAGCTTTGAGTTTGATGGTAGTTATGTTTATTTCTGATCATATTAATACTATTGTGTTTATGTTAAATCGAGCATCGTTGAGTGTTGGGCATGCGCGGAGCTTACCGAAATGTTTACAAGGGGAAGGGGGACAAATATGAGAAACAAACTATAGGAGGGACTATTGAGAATATCAACAAACAACAACAACATACATGCATCAATTGTATCGGTAAAAATGGTCAGCGGCATTAAGAGACGGACGCATGGGATTGTATGATTTTAAAGACTGATGGGCGCCAACATCAAAGAGACGAACACTTGTTGATAAGAACTATTGGGTACAAATATTAATGAATTTCGCAATGTTATGCAGCTATAATTAGGAGTGAAAAGGGAAGAGGAAGGAACAAATATGTGTTTACGAAATGTTTGGATACAAGAGGAAACGGGGGGAGAGGAATATGTACGCCCTAGCTTTGAGTTTGATGGTAGTTATGTTTATTTCTGATCATATTAATACCAATGTGTTTATGTTAAATCGAACTACGTTGAGTTTTGGGCATGCGAGGAGCTTTCCGAAATGTTTACAAGGGGAAGGGGGACAAATATGGGAAGCAAAGTATAGGGAATAACAACAACAAATATTGCAAGCAATCTATACGGATAATAGGGAACAACAACAACATGCAAGCATCCATTGTATCGATAAAAATGGTCAGCGGATGAGACGGAATGCCAAAACCGAACCATTGGGCAGACATATGATACACAACATTATGAATTTAGCAATCTTATGAAGCTATGATACGAAGGGAAAAGGGAAGAGGCAGGAACAAATTTATGTAATTTTATTGACAATCGGAATATTTGGTTTCAAGAAGAAAAGAGGAGAGGAGCATAATGTGCTTAGCTCCTCTCCGCTTTTCCTCTAATTTTAGTGGGTCAATGAACTTTTAGACTTGAAAAAATAGTTTATGAAAACACATGTAGGGAGATTCAAACATATCAGAGGCATGTTAACCCTTTTGGCCCAATGTATCCCA